GTCTATTCAGGACGTATAGAAATGAAATTAATAAATATTTACCTTTTAGATTTATTGTAATTGTTGATTGTTAAATAGTTATACAACAGAAATTGTGTCTCGGCTGAATCATCATTGCATGACAACTGTAAGGATTTAAAAGCATTTTTCTAATTTTGTCGTGCAGATTAAATTACTCCGATTTGGAAAATCATAGCAAATAGAACAGTAAATTTCATAATATTGCTTGGTAGATACAAGTACGAAAGTTAAAGAATGATATACATACACATTCAAAAAGATCGATAATTATTTCAAGAGAACTAGATGAACCATAAATTTTGTTCAGAAAAATAGATCGTCATCGATCTTGAACTCTAAATCTGTCGGAGATTCTCTATATCATACAATATGAAGAAATCTTAACATCCTCACACCCAACTTCAATCTTTCTAAGCATAAATTTCAACATATTAGAACAAAATTTTCATATTTTTTTAGGCAGCAGTGATTTATATTGGTATTGGTTTCTTTTAACTATTTTCTACTTCTATACAGGTTTCATATCTAATATCTTTATGGCTACATCAGTCTAATATTTATCTATACTTGTTTATTTTTGTACAAATTTTAATTGCATTTTCTAACATTTTGCTAATTTTATTTGCTGTTAATTCCATGCGTTTGATACCAAATGATTAGGCCACCGATAATGATGGATTAGACAGCCAATATCTGATGATGAATTTGGCTTAGTCCAAAGCATTTATTACTTCAATCATCGCAAGGGTGATCTAGTTGAAAAAATACTTTTCCGTCGAGTTCATCGGGACTAAATGTCAGAGCTAATAGAAATAACACTTGTTGTTCAGAACCGCTGAGTAATGAGCAATTCTAATAGTCACGATAGCGTCGTACATCTTGATCATTGTATTAATCGACATGAAACACACACTGTAGATAATACATCAGTCGAAACATATCATTATTAGGAACGGTTAGTCAGGAACTGGTTGATTTCAAACTGTATTCATTATTGACGAGGTAAATCATCTATGTACTTCTGATGAACAGCCAATTTCTTTTTGACAATGAAGAATAGTAAAATAGAATTCAGCTTTAATATTTTTTCGATTAGTTGGAAAATGTTTAGGGGTTCTTTTAGTGTCTAGGAACAGAAGTAACGATGAAGAGATAAGAAAAATAAAATAACCACTCTTGGTTCAATCGAAAATGACATTGTTTGGATTGATGTGTGCTCTCGACCAAAAATCTCAGCGTAGTATGTAAATAACTTGAATCGTTCTTCAAAAGATAAAACTTTTTATTGACATATTTCAAGTATATCAGAGACAATGAAAATATTGACAATGTGAAGAAAGAAAATTTCAAATGTTGAATGTGCTTCATTTGTGCAAACATTTCATGATATCATTTTTCGGTTTTATGACTATCTTCTTCACTCATATATGAATATATGTAATAATCCTTTTTGAATTTTGTCCATACTGATAAATGATAAACTTTTGGAATGTAGATGTTGCATACAAAATCATAGTATTTCATGTTTTGAATACAACAAACTCAGATATTAAAAGTACGTCAATATTTTATGTTCGTACAGGATTTGATTAGCTTTTCTTACTATACATTAGAAAAACTTTGATATAGTATTGCTTCCAAAACAAATCTAGAAAAACACTATAAATAATACCTTTCTTTATAATCATCTCAGTATCGAATATGTACTCATTATTGTGACTGTGAAAATCAAAACATCATTACACAATTAGTTTCACATGGTAAATGGTATTTCATCCACTCCAATAACCCGTCGACCTAGTTTTGGTATCAATTGTTCACATACAAACATGTCAGAGCAACACGCATGCAATTTTGAATATTTAAATACATAATGACCGATGAATAAAAGTATCAAATTCTTCACACTGAAAGAATATATTATCGATCGCCTTTTACTGCAGTTGTGAATCAAGTTGATGGAAAGATACATTTATTAATCGATCATACAGTTATCGATGTTAACTGATAATATACTAGCATATTCTTCCGAATTTTTTGAAGAAACATAAATTGATAGAAAGATTTCGAATATTAGAAAATTCTATGACAGAAAGACGATCTGTAGATAAGGAATAAGTCTACAAAAAAATATTTCATTCATTCGAATTGAAAACCGACAAAACATTAGGACATAGTGTAAAGAACAATGGATCTATAATTTTCATTAGATACTATATGATAACAATGAATAGGTCATTCGTGTTTTTCAAAGGTAAAATTCGGTACAAAACGAATCAATCGATTTCTCAAGATATTTCTTGTTGTCTCTTTTGGCGATCAGTTCAATAAGTATTCTAAGATGAAAACTTTCAATAGTAGCAAATAATTGTCTATTAATCATTTCCATCGATATTCATGGTACTCAATATAGTATCAGTTAACTTTCACATGAGTCAAGTTCGACGTGACTTGTAAAATATTTTTTATGGTAGAAGATTAACAAAAGTCAGATAATTGTAATATCGTTATTGACACGATAATAGGTAGCTTCTGCTTATAACTATTATTTAATTTCTACAGCAGTAGATGAATTTATTGAAGATTAGGTGTTCTCTGAAAAACAAAATCAATCATTCGACTCGGTTCAAACGCTTGATATGAAATTGATGAATATTCGAGAGATCATGAGACCTTTGTCGGAGTATGAAATTTATAGCCAATATCTTAACGACAATAAGTCAATCTGAATAAATTCCACATTGAATAAGAAAAATCAACAAAATTGTTTATCTTCTGAGGAATATTCAATCATTTTGAGATAGGTGAAATGAGCACGTTGATGCTATTCTAGCATTCGGTTGGTTAATGTCTCGGTATTATAAAGGTAAATTAATGAAAGTGATTGAGTGTTGGTCAAGAAATATATTCTCTTTACTTTTTTTTATAGCGCAATAAGCCTTAAGTTGCCACATTTTGTTACAATACTATGTGTCTTTTATCTTTTCCATTCTATTTGAGGATTCATTAAAAATATTTTATTTCAACGCCTCAAGATTTAATTAGTTTTTACATAACTCAGGTACAAATTAAAGTACTCTTTCAAACCATGCCACCTAATTTGGTTTATGAAAATAAACATTTTTTGTATGTATATACATAAGGGGAACCTAAAATCATGTTACACCCTGTATATACCTCTTGTTAAGGCAACAATAATCTATAATAAAATTATAAATAAAGGATTGTTCTAAAAAAAAGTATACTCTTTCGTCTATGATTTATGTCAAAGTTTGTTATTTATATACTTTATTCAATTTTTATTATAACAAACAATAAAGTATTTATTCACAATAGTAGAAATCAAACATTTATTTTATTTATAGACAATATTAGACATATTGTGACAATAATATATGAGATGACTTTCTCAAGAAAAACATGATTGTGAATAATAAAAAAAGTAAAGGATATATATTCGATTTATTATTAAGAAGAACGATTCATTCGATAATGACGCATTTTCACGAGAGTGCAACTAACCGTATCATACTTGTTTACAAAGAGAAGATTGAATCATTATTCAGTCGATTATATTCATTTGTTTAATAAAAAAAATGGATTCAAACATTCAATGGTATTTCAATCCATACGATCAAGTACAACCATTAAGACAAAACGAAAATCCACAACAATATCAACCAGTTAGTATCATTTTATTATATTATATTATGTTTTTTCAAGCTTTAATTCTAGATACCTGTTGTTAGTCAACCACCTTCTAATCGTGTATGTGAGGATATTCCATATCCTATTGTACATAAACTTCTTTTGAATGATCTCTTTGATTTTGGATATGAAGGTGCACCAAATATAGATCGACTTGTGTATCATCTCAATAATGAAGGTTTTAATCAGATTATCCAAACTCAATATAAAACTTTCTGTTTTCTAAGGTCGTCTTGCTGAAGAAACTTGGCGTCATCTTCTATCTCAAGCCAAAATAATATTTTGTCAAGAACCTAACATAATATTTCTTCCACGTGGTTGTACTATTGTTGGAGATATTCATGGACAATATTATGATCTTTTGACAATATTCGAGTTAGGTGGTCCATTGGATCAACAACCATATGTCTTTCTTGGCGATTATGTTGATCGTGGTTCATTCTCTTGTGAATGTCTTTTTCTTCTTTTAGCACTTAAAATTACTTATCCACGATCATTTTTTCTTTTACGTGGTAATCATGAATCACGTCAAATGACGCAAGTATTTACATACAAAAGAGAATGTAAAGTAAAATATTCAATTGATCTTTGGAATGAGTCTGTGTCATTATTTGATTGTTTACCTATTTGTGCTATAATCGATGATCGATTCTTATGTATGCATGGTGGAATATCACCTTATGTAAAATCTCTTCATGATATAGCACGATTAAATCGTTTTCAAGAACTTCCATCGGAAGGTCCATTATGTGATATAATGTGGTCTGATCCACATCGACAATTTAGTGCTCAACAAGCACCTCCATGGATATTTAATAATAATCGAAATTGTTCTTTCTTTTTTAATCATAAAGTATGTGAAAAATTTCTTATTGAAAATCGTCTTTTAGCTATTATTCGTGCACATGAAGTTGTACCTAATGGTCTACTTATGTATGAACAAGGATCAATGTCACAATTTCCTGTTCTTATTAGTCTTTTTTCTGCTCCAAATTATTGTGATGTATATAATAATACAGCAGCATTAATTATCTACGATCTTCAACGAAATTTTCGTCCGGTTTATTTTCGTCATCGACCACATCCATTTGTTTTACCAAATCATGAAAATGCTTTTGAATTTGGTCATCGATTTATGAAAACTTATGTAGAAGAAATTCTTTTGGCATTAATTCAAGGTTATACTAAATCAAGGGATCGTTCTCGAACTAGTGATGGTGACGACGATGTAACAAAACGATTGAAAACAAAAGAACAAATGTTGACTGAACACACGCATAAATGTCGACGTCTTAATAAAATGAATATTCAATTGGGTAATTTAGTACCACCAGAACAATTACAAGAGAAAGCATTAAATAATCAATATGTATTTGAACAAGAAGTTCCTATACTTACCAAATCATTAGAAACCGATCCATCATTGACATTTGATTCAGCATCAAAAATAGATGCTTTGTATGAACAACGAACATATTAAATTTATCTTTTTTTTTCATTTTTTGTTAATAAAGAAATAAAGAGAAAAACAATAAAAAATGACAAGAGCAAAAATGAATAGCATTTTTTTGCTATAATATGTCGTGAATGTCCCTAATAACGACGGAAACATTCATTTGTTTCGTCTCACTCGATGAAGGACTATTTTACATTCGATTGAAAACACTTTGATGTATGGATATGGCTGTGAACGTGGATCTACTCGTCATTCACATCTATACCCAATATGGACCGTATTCTAGAGGCATCTAATTATTCAGCATTTATTATAAAACATGATACAGATGCTTAAAAAGTCTTTCCATTACATTCATTTGCTTTTTTCGTTTCTATATGAGTCAATCTAAATCATTTGTCCGACTAATTAAGTCTAAATAAAATAGTCGTTGTAAGATATTAGAAAAGTCTAGATACTCACTATTCCTCTGGATGACATTCCAGACTAGCTCACTCTCTTCTCTTTGATAAGTTTCAATTACATATTTAATGAACAAGCGCCACTATCCTGTTTAAACTGTTTAGACTGGTATCGATCTCTCATTAAATCGTAGTTTACCATTAGAAGACCCATTGAATGCCGAGTATTGTCGGATCATATCTTCGAACCTATCTTTTCTCTCTCTTTACTGTTCTGCAGACTACTCTGAATGGAATGAATTGACAAAACGGACTAAAATGATAGATGTAAATATAGTTTGGACTAGTTCAGACATAGTTAAAGGACATTTCTTAGAAAGGCGATCGGTCCTGACGGGTAAGTAAGAGACGTTTCAGACTACGCCTAATAGGTAGTATGAATATTTCAGACTTATCTTGTTGAGTGTCCTCACTTGTTTTTTTCTTACTTGGGTGTAGACATCAAAAATTTTTGATACGCCGTATGAAATGCGAAAAGTCAAAGATCAGTAGAAATCTCGTGGTGTCGCACACTACGTTTTCTTATCCGTAACTGTCATAAT